ATCAGCAACTTCATTCGCGGTGCGTGTTGACCGGACTGGCCGCTGCTCGTTCACCACTCGCCCGGACGCGAACCAGTTTTGGCTCTTACTTCAGAAGGATGGCGGTGATGCGCCGACCTTGGGTGCCGAGTGTGGGTGTCTGGAGGATCGTCCTTCGTTCTATGTTTTACCGTACCACACTGCATTGTATCATATCATGTTTATCTATTACTTTCTGTACTGCTGCACCGGGTAATCTGAAAATGTACAGTCGGCAAAAGTCAACCGCATTGCGGGTGAAAATTCACCTCATATTCAGTCTAGAGGGCTTCCAGCATGAGGGTGAAAGAGTTCATACTTCAGGTGAATTTCACCTGTGGCTTTCACCCGTCGTGCAGTCCAATTTCACCGGAGGAGGGTGATTTTCACCTACCTCCAGAGTGAAAGCCGCCCGAACATCAGGCGAATGCACAGGTGAATTTCACCTGTTTTGAACGCCCCCGTGGCCCGTAGGCGAACTTTAACTGGTTCACGTGGCTTTCAGTGATGAGTTTACTTGTCCTCTCTCTCTCGAACTTTAGTTAGAGTGAATCGCACCCGAATGGGAACAGTAATTACTCAGTGCGTCGTCCTATCAACATCGCCGCTATATCAACACCACTCGGATTGCCATCGACCAGCATCTTTTACGCGGTCAGCTTCTGGTGGCAATAATGACATTGCACCCTGTCATGATCAGTGGTCACGGTTCTACTCGTTTTGTGCTCACATGCACGAATGTACCTGCTCACCTGATCCTAGCTACTTGCACAGGTCTATCAGGTACATCGCTTGGATTGTATGATCATTTTCCCGATTTTACCCCGAGGAAGCTCTCGCACTCAAAGCACCGACCGGTTGAACTGCATATACCAAAGAGGACATCTCGTGAACAGATGGAACTTGAGTCTAGATTATGAGCAGCCGGGACCCTCCTATTTAAGGCATGAAGGCCTACGAAGGCCTGCAGGTCCTGGCTGTCTGTTGCCCATGTACAAGATGCTTGCATTACTGGCTTTGGCCCACCTACTGGTGGCTTGTGCGTTCGCGAGAGGAACTTTGCCCAAGGGCTTCGTTACTACTGATGGTAATCGGTTTTTATTGGACGGAAAACCATTTGTTGAGTGTCTCTCATGTCTGCCTTTGCTGAGCTGTACTGACATAGCGCACTTCAGGCATTTGTCGGCACCAACTCCTATGTGAGATCGTGGCCATCTCGTGCACATGAGCCGGAAGTGACCGCAATATCATCCAGTGGCTCCCTTTGTTGACCAGTGATGCGGATGTGGAGAAAACATTGAACGACATGCAAGCTGCCGGTGTCAAAGTTCTTTGTACATGGGTGCGGCCGTTCTTCTCCCTTTCAGATTATGGGTAGTGTAATTCACTCCAAACAAACAGGGTTTTAATGCCATAACTGGTTCTGAGCTTGCCGGCGCGAAGCAGTCTGACCTAACGTACTATCAAGTATGGAACAGCAGCAAGTGGGTACTCAACGATGGGCCCCAGGGTTTGCAGTGTTTGGACCATGTTATTGAAGCCGCGGGGAAGCACAATATCAAGGTGATACTGGCATTCACTAACAATTGGTATTTACTATTGTCTGTGAAACAGCCAGTGACTGATGTTTCCCAGGGTGGGCTATGGGGTATGTTTGCCGCCTCATTTCATACACATCATCTTATAAGCGGTCTTAGGGAGCGGAACTGTACATCAACTGGATTGCTGGCTCGAACGCGACCCACAACGTCTTCTACACTGATCCCAAGATCATCTCATCTTATTGTGAGCCACTGGTCAATGTGATGACTCCTTTTGCTGATGGTACAACCAGAGAAATATGTGAAAACGATTGTCAACCGCTATAAAGCTTCGCCCTCGATCTTTGCTTGGGAATTGATGAACGAGGCCCAATGTGCTGGTGACTTACCAGCCTCATCCGCTGTCGCGCGTAAGAAGTGCAAGTCACTTTATAAGTGAAGAGACTTCCGCCTGGGTTCCTGAGCCTTATCAGAAAGCTGAGGACTATCCAGTTGAGTTCGGTCTTATAGATAAGAAGGGGACGAAGGCGAGAGAGCAGAGGCGAAGGTATGAGAACTGATAGCTAGACGTGAGGACTTGAAGAGATAGAACAGAAACTATAAGACTGAATCCCACTAGGCAACGGTGCTAGGGCAATTCAGAATGAGGCAATTGACACGACGCAAGAACCCGAACTACGTTACATGAAAACGGACTGTTTATATACTAATCGAATGAGTCACTGTTGTTACGGAGATGAAGGCTGCGCTGCGAGGCTACGCTATGAGGCTATGTTGAAAATCGATGGCATCCTGAGTATCTTGACTACAAACACCTTCATCTAGCTACCATCCGATGGTAGAATCTTGTCACGTTGATGAACCACGCAGCCTCGTTCTCGGCGGCAATATAGAATGACTCATGCGGTGACCATCCTATCTTCATCAGCCTGCATGACTCCTCAACCCTACACCCTGCACAGCTAATCTTCCCTGCCCGACAACAAGTCCTGTACGCTCGACAACGATTGCTGTACGCCCGACGACAAATCATGTATGCTCGGCAACGAGTCCTGTACGCCCGACGATGAGTGCTGTGTTCCCGACAACGGGTGCTGTATGCCCGACGACGAGTGCTGTCTTCCTGACAACGGATGCTGTCCACCCAACGATGAGTGCTGTCCGCCCGACAACGAGTCTGAGTCTGACTCATCCTCTTCGAAGTTGT